GGACGATATTTTGGTGTATTCCCCTGATCTTCAAACTCACCACTCCCATGTGAAACAGGTTCTGCAGACGTTGTTGAAAAATAAACTTTATTGTAAATTAGAAAAGTGCATATTTGACCAGCCTGAAGTCCACTTTTTGGGTTACAACATCTCTGCATCGGGATTTCAAATGGATCCTAAAAAACTAGAGGCTGTACTACACTGGCCATTACCCTCTGGTTTAAAAGCCATTCAAAGGTTTATTGGTTTTGCCAACTATTACAGAAGATTCATCAAGGGATTTTCTTCTGTAATAGCCCCAATCACAAATATGACTCGCAAAGGGGTTAGTAGCACGGTATGGTCCAAAGAGGCTGTGAATGCTTTTGAGACTCTTAAACAAAGATTTGCCTCTGCGGACATACTAAAACATCCCGACACTAGTAAACCTTTTATATTGGAGGTTGATGCATCCGAGACAGGGGTAGGGGCTGTTCTCTCTCAGAGAGAAAGCCAGGGAACACCATTGCATCCTTGTGGCTACTTCTCCAGAAAGATGTCTCCTGCTGAGCGCAACTATGATATTGGCAATAGAGAACTGTTGGCCATTATTCTTGCCCTCAAGGAGTGGCGACATATTTTGGAGGGTTCCAAGGACCCCTTGTTGATCATAACCGACCACAAAAATCTGGCATATATAGGGGATGCCAAACGTTTGTCTTCCAGACAGGCTAGATGGTCACTGTTTCTTTCACGTTTTAACTTTCTCATTACTTATAGACCTGGTTCTAAAAATACCAAGGCTGATGCCTTGTCCAGGCAATTTGATAATGAGTCAGCTCCGGAACAGGTGACATCTCCTATTATTCCACCAGAGTGTATTATTGCTACTACTGTCCTCTCACTGTCTTCTCCACTGCTTGACACCATACTGGAGGCCCAGCCTCAGGCGCCCAGTGGTAAACCGTGTGATAAACTGTTCGTTCCCCTATGTGAAAGGGTTCATATCATGAAAGTGTTCCATGACAATATAACTGCTGGACACCCGGGCATCAATAAGTCCACTGCCGCGATCACTAGATCATTTTGGTGGGATTCACTCAGGAAAGATGTAAAGGAGTATGTGCAGGCATGTTCAGTGTGTGCAGTTTCTAAGGTAACTCATGCACTTCCTTGTGGCCTGTTGCAGCCTCTTCCTGTTCCTGAGATTCCATGGTCCCACTTATCCATGGACTTTATTGTTGAGCTTCCTAGCTCTGCTGGGTTCACTACTATTCTCATGGTTGTAGACCGATTTTCTAAGATGGCTCACTTCATTCCTCTCAAGAAGTTGCCATCTTCGCAAGATTTGGTCCTAATTTTCATACGTGAAATTGTCCGTTTGCATGGCATCCCCCACAATATTGTGTCTGATAGGGGCTCTCAGTTTGTGTCCAGGTTCTGGAGGGCGTTCAGTAAACAATTGGGGATTGATCTCTCCTTCTCCTCCTCCTACCATCCACAGACCAATGGTACAGCTGAGAGGGCTAACCAGTCATTAGAAGTTTATTTGCGTTGTTTTATTAATAGCACACAAGACAATTGGTCCGAACTACTCCCGTGGGCCGAGTTCGCTAGAAACAATGCTGTTCATGACTCCTCTGGGCACAGTCCATTTTTTGTCAATAATGGTAGGCATCCTACGGTTCTCCCTGCGGTATTTTCTGATACTGCCATTCCTGCTCTGGATGAGCGTCTGGCCTCCATTCGGGATACCTGGGTTAAGGTTCAAACTGCTCTAGGGGCTGCTGCTGAACGCTTCAAACATTTTGCTGATAAGCGTAGGAGTGCCAACCCGGTGTACCAAGTGGGGGACCGGGTTTGGTTGTCATCTCGCAACATCAAGCTTAAGGTCCCTAGCATGAAGTTTGCCCCCAGATTCCTTGGTCCCTATAGAGTGCTTCGTAGGATCAATCCAGTGTCTTACTCTCTGGCTCTTCCTGCATCTTTAGGGATTCCCAACACTTTTCATGTGTCCTTACTCAAACCTCTTGTCTGCAATAGATATACTGTTCCTTGTGTTCCTCCCCCTCCGGTGGTGGTGGGTGGTCAGGAAGAGTATGAGGTATCTTCTATCGTGGATTCTAGGTTTTCTCGGGGCACTTTACAGTACTTGGTTGTTTGGAAAGGTTACGGTCCTGCTGATCGTTCTTGGGTTTCGGCTCCTGACCTGCATGCGGGCCGTAAGATCCGCGCTTTTCACGCTAAATATGTGTGTGTCTCCCTCTGTGACTGTATCTCTGTGTGTCTCCATACATATGGCTGTCACTTCCTGTGTATGTCTCTTTAGTTTTGTTTGTGTCTCATTGTGTATGTGTGTGTCTCCCTCTGTGACTGTATCTCTGTGTGTCTCTATACATATGGCTGTCACTTCCTGTGTATGTCTGTTAAGTTTTGTTTGTGTCTCATTGTGTCTGTGTGTATATACCTCTAGCTGTGTGTTTCACATTGGACAACAGAAAAGGCAAAATGCACCATGGGATTAATGTGATAATATGGAGAATCTCACAATATAGGTAGCAGAAATTGCTTTGGATAATTAAAGATTTTCTCTCTAATTGAGCAATCAAATTTTGATAAATAATAATAAAAATATAAATTTTTCGTTATTATCTTTTTACACTCATAGGTTGACATTACATTCTAGAACAGAAAAAACACCCTTGAGATTCTAGCAATCATTTTTTTGTGTGCAAATTTAGTTGTCATTGAAGGGGTTAAATAAAATACCTCAATGTTAAAAACATTGATATGTTCACCATGTGACAATTATATACATTATTTGATAAATGTTGCAAAACAACAAATGTTACAAAACAAAAACACAGATTACAGCAATACCAAGCTGAAAAGCAGATTTGTGTAGTATTTTGCCCAAGATAATATTTTTTATTCATTTTATAGTTTAGGGATTGATTAAAACACCATCACACGTTTTGCTTAATAGCGCACCGGGGGCCCTGATGAGCAATTAAGCGAAACACGATTTGAAGGTTTAATTTATTTAATAAAGATTAATTTTTAAACTTATCATGCACCTATACTAGTTTGTCCTATGGTTGTTATTCATAAATTATGTTTTTTATTCTTCATCCTGGGGTGTAGGGGCTGTTTTTGTATCTGTAGCTCACTGTTTCATTGTGTAAAATAAACAAACTGGAAACATAGCTGAGCCGGTGACTTTTTTTGTGTGGCTATATTGGCATAAAATAATCAATTCTTTGATACATTTTTACACAAATCTTACTTTAGTGAATAATTCAGATATTTCCAAGTCGAATATTGCACTCGACTGTAAGGGAACATTCCAATTGAATGATGCTGGGCGTGCACTGAAGCCATCTCTTGATAAGGTAGCAGAAAGGTTTTAGCTCAATTTAACACCTTACCTGGGTCCTGCTGAGCACCCATGGCAGCAGCCAGTTTTCCCAAGCAGGAGAAGTCAGATGTCTTTGTAGAGTAAAACACAGAAAATTAAGAACCGTTTTAATTGGCTGAGAGTGCTAACCGGATGATCTATATAGAGAGATAATGCAAAAGTAAAATTATCTGCATTGCTGAAGCAGCGGCAAGTAAGACAGCGGAATATCGGCCAATCGTTCTAAAATGGTTGATGGCACCCAAAGATTCCTCACATTATAGTCTCTAGAATGTGCTGTATTGGTTATAGTGTTTAGATTAACCATTTTTATAAAGACTGCAAGAAAATTAAAGCAAAATTGTCATTGTACATAAACTAATAATCCTTTTGCATCCTCACCCCAAATTCATTGTATTTTGAATATTTATGCTGTTACCCAACTCAACAAACATTCTCAGAATTTTGCAAAAATATAGACTCACTATAAATTTTTAGTTTTATAAAAACAGTCTCCATGAAAATAATAATTTCATTTTTAATCAGTTGTAACATCACATTGTGTTTACTTTATAAGTTATCTTCTGCCCTGTTAAGTGAATATTATTTACACAAAGAAGGCTCCTGGTAGCTCTAGCAAGCTATTAAAGGACCACTATAGTGCCAGGAAAACATACTCGTTTTCCTGGCACTATAGTGCCCTGAGGGTGCCCCCACCCTCAGGGACCCCCTCCCGCCCGGCTCTGGAAGGGGGAAAGGGTTAAAAACTTACCTTTTTCCAGCGCTGGGGGGGGCTCTCTCCTCCTTCTCCGTTCCTCCTCCTTGGCTGAATGCGCACGCCCGGCAAGAGCTGCGCGCGAATTCAGCCCGTCGCATAGGAAAGCATTTACAATGCTTTCCTATGGACGCTTGCGTGCTCTCACTGTGAAAATCACAGTGAGAAGCACGCAAGCGCCTCTAGTGGCTGCCAATGAGACAGCCACTAGAGGAAATAGGGGCTTAACCCATTCATAAACATAGCAGTTTCTCTGAAACTGCTATGTTTATAAAAAAAAATGGGTTAACCCTAGAAGGACCTGGCACCCAGACCACTTCATTAAGCTGAAGTGGTCTGGGTGCCTAGAGTGGTCCTTTAACAGAGCAAGAAATAAGAAATTCTAATTTAAACACACTGTGCAATAAATTTAGTTTAAATGTTAGATCTCTCTTTACAGGAAATGTGTAGGGAGACTCTGCAGGTCACATGCAGGAGAGGAGTGACTAGGGCTGTATAAACATGTAACAGGATTTAAATTTCCAAATGCAAGAGAATTGAGCAGTTAAATTGCACTCCCATGACCTATACACCAAAACCACTCCTTTACCCCAATTCACTCCTAGAATGTAGTATAAACATGTTTAGTTTCACTTATTTTGCTGAATGAAATTTAGTCAATAAAGCCTAATACACCCTGATTTATACTCATTAAGAATAATTACAAACCTGTAGAGGAACAGATTTAGCTCCAGAAGCCACTGATCTCTAATTTATTGCCTGCAACTAGTGATGTCCCGAACGGTTCGCCGAACGGTTCGCCACGGATGGCGAACATATGTGCTGTTCGGTCTGCCCATATTCGTCATCATTCAGCAGACACATTCCAGCCAATCAGCAGGAGACCCTCCCTCCTAGACCCTCCCACCTCCTGGACAGCTCATTAAGAATGCAGCTTCACAATGAATGTTAAATGGATGCTGTCCAGGAGGTGGGAGGGTCTGGGAGGGAGGGTCTGCTGCTGATTGGCTGGAATGTGTCTGCTGACTGTGAGGTACAGGGTCAAAGTTTACTCAATGATGACAAAGGGGGCGGACCGAACAGTGCATATGTTCGCAGTCCGTGGCGAACCGTTCGGCGAACCGTTCGGCGAACCGTTCGGGACATCACTACCTGCATCAAATGGTGCCCAGTAGCGGTATTAGACTCATATCATCAAACCCCCTGCAATTTCCCCTCACAACCTCTGTTTTCACTACACGGATCTGTCCTTACGACTCCGGAATCCATGCTATACATCAGATCCTTAATTATGCGACTAGGCCTCAAACCTTCCAACTATTCAGGTCACTCCTTCATAGGGGCAACTTCCACGGCCTCAAGTGTAAATATATCAGTACACATTATTAAAACCCTAGGGTGCTGGAAATCCTCTGTATATACTCGGTACATTCGAAACCAGTTTAAGAAATACGCGATGCCTTTAAGGAAATGTCTGTATAAGATATATGTATATTATTGACTGTATTAAATTGCATGAGTCTATTTTTGCCCTCTTTTTATTTACAGGCCCTACTGCATCGTCAGTTCTTACTCTAATCTACTCCTATCTTTATTGCTTACTCTATATACAGCATTTTTGCCCATAACACAAGTATTAAGGCTTTTGCCTGTAATTGTGGGAGGAGCATGATTTACCTTACCTTACTCCACACCGTTCGTGGTCTAGCAATTTGCATGTCCCTCCCACCACTTCCACTATTTAATCATAACCCCCTTTTTCTCCCTTTACCCTTGGGTGGGCCCTCTTTTTATTTATTTACAGACCTTACCGCATCGTCGGTTCCAGCACACCACAACCGACTTGCTCTCTTACTCTAAACTACTCCTATCTGTATTGCTTACTCTATATACGGCCTTTTTGCCCTGAACACAAATATAAGTATATATATATGAATTATTTATAATTGTTTTTGATATTTTGATATCTTAAAAAATTATTTAAAAAATGCATCCCAAAAACTAAAAAGTGATTTGAAAAGCTTATCCAAATATGTTACATTTGAGTCGGCAATTTGGGGGAACTAAGATAGTGTGAGCCGAAAAGAAAAACAACAAAACAAAAATAAAGCAGGTCTTTGTTGATGTTGAGGAGAAAATAAAAGCGTAGAATGAGTTACGCGCTGAAATAGACTTATGTACCCAAATTAATTGCTGTAAAATTGTGCCACATGCCAATTTTAAGACTTTTAAAAAAAAAAAATATGTTCAAAATGGATGTGATGTACTCTTTGCAAGTCACTTTCTTCTGAAAAATTTATTTTGAAGCTGAGAAGTTCCCCAGTAGGAATCTTATTTGTAGTGTGCAGACAGTATGAAGTTGCCTAGAGAAATCTTTCAGAATAATGTTTTCTATATGACAACAGAAAGTGATTTGAAATTTATTGTAAAAATAAAAAATAATTATATAAAATAACGGGGATATATATATTGCCCAGAAACCTAACTGTTGAACTTTCATAGTAGAACTATTAATTACATTTCTGCACAATCTCAAGAAAACTTTAACGTTGGTAACATGCCCCAAAGAAAGTCTCTGACAGCCAGGAAGATTCTTCCAAGTCTCTTATCCCTAGAACATAAGAAAAATAGAGATAGAATCAAAGAAAAAAGTGAAACATATAGTGTAATATTGCGTATATTGAGATCTATTCTTTTCCATTTTAAACTTATAAAAAAATAAATGATTCAGCAAAACATCCAGTATCACAACACAGAACAGAAATATCTTTGGTGCCAATATTTTGGCATTGTGAGACATGGCTACGGGGAGAGACTTGCTTGGCATACTGACTTAGGACACACCTGCACGGAACAGTAGGTTCTCTTACAAATTAATCAATCAAGAGAAAAACTGTATAGGGTAGAACAGTGACAATTAACATGTGTTTATGCATTTTGTAACATGATGTACTTGCTGCGTTCAACGGGTTATCTGTCAATCAAAGCAGTCAAGCGCAAAACTATATAGTGTAGGGTGCTGGGAATAACATGTCACTGTAATTTGTAAACCATGGCTTGCTGGGTTCAATTTCAATTTATGAAATGGGACTCTGGCAAACAATTCTCACAGTTCTGAACTGTAGTTTTGCTCAACTTTTGCAAGATTTGTGCTACTGAGCAAATTCTGTGAAGGGCATCTGTGCTTTTTCTGAGCAATCCACAGCATCTGTATGAGACATCTGTGAAAACGATGTGGAAGAAATTATGGTCTTTTTTTCCACCGATATTCTACAATGTGAGAAATCCCACGTTTGCATAAATTTTCCCTGATGCTTGAGTTGTGCTGCAAGTTGTAAATTGTGTTACGGGGATCTTAAGTGTGAACAATTTAAAGAGAAAGGATACGCAAGTATTTCAGAATACAAAAGATCAAAACAAAACTATGAGTGGGACATTTACTATCAAAACAGTAATATCGTATAAGATCTACATTTATTGCTGATGATTTTACCAGTTAAGATTGGAAGCCGACTTGGATGAGATCAGTCTTTTTCTAAATACGTGTACAAAAGCATGTTTCCTGTACTTTTCAGAATCACATAGAATTGTAATTCATATCACACAAACTTTGCACAGAGAAGAAGTCTATTGTTGAGAGTTGTTGGTACTGTTTATAAATTAGGGTAGATGATTTTTTTTTTTTAGGAGAATAAGTGGAAAATGAATGCACATCTTGTGTGGATTTTCATACAAAGTGGTCTGGTTGCACAAAAAAAACATCACTGCAATGGCAAGAAGAAACAATTGTGAACCTTAAAGGACCACTATAGTGCCAGGAAAACATACTAGATTTCCTGGCACTATAGGGTCTCTAGGTCCCCCCTATCCTTAGGGTCCCCCTCCCGCCGGGCTCTAGGGTGAGGAAGGGGTTAAACACATACCTTTTTTTTTTTTTGTAAATATAATTTTTATTTTCATTTTCGTATCGAGGCAGTCATACTTCGTTTGGACTCGCAGGTCCGTTGCTTGGTAAGTGCAAAGAGTAAGTCAGCAACGTTGTGAGGTTATATAACAGTGCGGGCTCGCAGGCCCCTCAAACAATGTGAACTCGCAGGTCCCATCCGTTATGGAGATTTATACATTGTATAAGACAAACAGTTTAAGAACAAACAACTTATGAGGAACATATTTTATCAGCCTCCTAGCATGGACAGCTGGTTAGCAACAAAACAAAACACCTCCCCATCCCCATGTGTTCCGTGGTGATCGTCTGTCGTCTCCCCTACTCTACTACGGTCGTTGGATACCTGCCTACGTGGCGGATATCCTCTATATGTGGCCTCCAGGTCACCCTTATCAGTGTGGTTCTAGGTGGTCCCTGCCACCTCAAGGGTATCATGGCTCGTGTGTTAAGGTGGTTGGGATGGGTAGGTCGTGGTGGAAAAGCATCGGGAGGGGGGGTCTAGGTTCCGTCCGCGTCATGGGTCTGCAGCATATTGGGATTTAAGTCCTGTCTCTATCGTTGGGCGTAGGGTTTGCCCAGGAAGCCTGGTTTTGCTGACTTCAGTAGCCAGTGCGTCCATATATTGAGGTAGGTTTGGTGTGTGTTATTTGCTGCAGCGTGGAGTTCTTCTAAGGACCTCAGCTCCTCCATTTGAGTGAACCAGGTTCTCAGTGGCGGGGTGGTCTGTTGTTTCCAATGTTGTGGGATGATAGTTTTAGCTATGTTTAGTATGCGTATCGTCATTGATTTCTTATATATGGTCCGGGGGACCTTGGTGTGGTGTAGGAGCATTTCTGCTGGGCCGAATGGGGGTGGGTCATCTGAGAGCTGCCCTATGATTGTATGTACGTCCTTCCAGAACGGGGCGATTTTGTTGCATTCCCACCAGATTTGTAGGAGCGTGCCCGTCTCCTCTCCGCATCTCCAGCACACTGGGGGGTAGTCTGGGATGTGTGCATGTAATGCAGCGGGGGTGCAGTACCAGTGTGTCAGTAGTTTGTATGCTGTTTCTTGCGTCTTACTGAAGCTGGAGCAATGGTGCGTGAGGTAGCAGATTTTTTCCCAATCTGCCTTATTAAATGTGCGGCCCTGCGCTGCCTCCCATTTTCCCATAAAGCTTGGTTGTGCTGTTGGTGTTTGTGTCAGAAGTGAAGTATACATGAGGGAGACTCCATGGGTTAGCGGGTCTGGGTGTAGGCATATGTCTTCGAAGTATGTGGGAGCTCTTGGTAGGATGGGCCCCTGTGGAAGGGTCGCGATGTGGATTTGTTTGTGTTTTAGGCGTATCAGGAGAGTAGAGTCAGCTTCTCCCCTTAAGTCCCTGAGAAACAAATACCTTTTATCCACCGCCGGGCTCCCTCGGTGGTGGGGACTCTGCACGAGCCGCGCGCACATTCAGCCAGTCCATAGGAAAGCATTCTCAATGCTTTCTTATGGACGCTGGCATCTTCTCACTGTGAAAATCACAGTGAGAAGTGCGGAAGCACCTCTAGCGGCTGTCAATGCGATAGCCACTAGAGGCTGGATTAACACACATGTAAACATAGCAGTTGTAAACCATATGTAAACATAGCAGAAAGGGTTAATCTGGCACACAGACCACTTCATTGAGCTGAAGTGGTCTGGGTGCCTATAGTGGTCCTTTAAATGAGTGCTCCTCAACCCTCTCCACAAGGCACACCTAACAGTCCATGATTTTGGTATTACCCGGGTGTGTCTAAGATGTTTCTCTAAGGCATTTTTTTTAATTTTTCTAAATTCCTTAGACACACCCAGGTAATCTCTAAATCCTGAATTGTTAGGTGTGCCTTGAGGAGAGCTTTGAGGAACACTGCCGTAAATGACCTATAGTCTGATCAGTCAATGAGTTCACAGAAGAAATACTTATAAAAAAAAGTTGATTATTACATATGTCTTTTTTGGTGCAATCACTAATTGAATTATATGATAAAACTGCAACGTTGTGTCTAGATTGATGTACCGGGATAACACAAGGAAGGGATGACAGTTAATGCGCCCTCCCCAGTCACTGACATAGAG